GAGAACTAACGACACCATTTCGCGAACACATTACCTATCTTAGGTTTATATTGCCGTTGTTGCTCCCCTTCTGCAAGTGCAAATCATACATGCTAAGCAAGGAATCCATTACTCCTTCTTTTACATAAAATAAAAGTTAATATTTCTACATAGTTTCAATTCTGAAATCATGTAACCTTGTAACCCATCGTAGGTTCAAGTTGCGTTCTGTTAGTTTTTAATAAAGATGTTAGATGGCGCCATTTTCGTTTACTCCTGAGAGGAGCGTAGAAGCTTTAAAGCAGAATATCAGGTTTTCGCCAACATTTCGAAAAACGTAAAAAAAGTCCAAAGTGAATGGGATTCCGAAAAAAGAAAAAAGAAGAAACATATCTGAAAATTTTCAGATTTTTTTTTTTATATTACGCCCAAAAGGGTGTGTTTTTAACGTTTTTTGTGCTACCTTTGTTTATTAAATATAATGTTCTTCGCAATTAAACCATAAAATTCAATCCAACAGCAGTATCACAAAATATTTAAAAACAGCATATCTTCAGAATTTCCGATAGGCAGTCTGGCGTTGAGATTGTTAATCAAAAATGCTTTAAAAGTTTCACAAAATGTGAAATAGATAATAAAACAAATTACAAATTTGCGCTTCCAGAAGCCCATAGTCAAGTGAAGGATTACGTTATTCAAAATTTGATGCCTCAAGGTACCGCTGTTTTTTAACAATGCGAAAAACATATATACATTCATTCGGATTCTTCATTATTGAATTTTTTTAAATATAATGCAGGGACTCTAATATTTGGTGGCAACAATTTTAAAAGTGAAACTTTGGTTTATACTGGACGACGAAAAATGCCAAACCAAAATTAATAACCCTTCTGGGCAAATTGTCCCTTTGAGCTAAAAAACATAATCTAAAATACAGTAACTATCATTTCTCACTAAAACCGTTAAATGACGCAGTGTTAGCGGTAAAAACGTATGTAACAAATGTCCGTGGAAATTCTGCTTCTCCTGACTTCTCTAGAGTTTTAGGCAATTTGTTTGAAGATTTGCTTTTACTGCAGAAGTCATTCCATAAGAAAATAAAACTGAAGTAGTTTTTAGACATAAGATATCAATTAAGGGGAATTTATTGGCTCATTGTATGAAATTAAAACTTTGATTAAAAAGTAAAACATAGTTAAATTTTCATTTAAAATTAAGAGTTTTAAATTTATGTTCATTTTATAACTTGGCACCTTGTCATATCCTTCTTCTTGGGCGTGTAGGTCCTGGATATGTATTTCATTTCTACCGTAGACGTATCGTAATGTGGGCATTGCAAAATCCAGCCATTTTAACGACACAAAAACTTTATTAACACACAAACAAAATAATAAAAACAAACGATTAACACACAAAGGTATAACTGCGTATTTTCATCCACGCTGGCATACAGAATGTTACCTTCGTTACTTCGCTACCAACTACTTACTAACTACTCTTCTTTAGTAAATATTATTATAATGAGTGTGGAAGTCACATGAGAGGGAGGTGTTGCAGGCCGTTGGGCTAAACTGTGCTTGCGTGGTCATCACGTCATAACACACCTAATACTTACCAAAACAAATGTCAGTAAACTACTGCATCGTAAAGTAAGAATATTAACTTGTTTTACAACCACTAAAACATTAAAAGTACTGTATTAGAATACAAAATAGAGTCAGTTTGCTAAAATTTCTGACAATATCGATAGTTTTTCTGCCAAAAAAGGTACTTAGTAAAGTTAAGGAAAAATACATGAAAACAGTATCTTTAGTGCGAGTAGGAATCGCTACCCAAATCTATGAGTTTCAGCCAACTTTTTGGTAGTTGTTCAAAGCCTTCGGCCCAGAAACTTGGTGGACGCGAGTTCAAAAACAGATCAACCTCATTTCGGACGTCCTGTGAAAAATGGAGACAGCACTAGCAAGATGTAGCTGAACGTGTGAAAAAAAAAAAGGTCGAAGTTCGAAGGAGCGATGCCGGTGCTATGTGGCGGGTTTGGCCAAAGATCCCATTCGAGTCCTCGCATCCAGCCGTGAATGCAGATACATGTGGTCTTACATTATTTTGATGGAACATCACCTTTTTGCGCCGGAACTCAGTTCGACATTTTTCTTTAATAGCAGCCTCAACATGGACTAGCATCTCGCTGTACAACTTACTGTCGAAGGTTTGACCTTTTTCCAGATTCTGTTTAAGGATAACACCCCCATATAACAAAGCACGATCTGTTTGTTAGTTAAGTTGTGCCTTGTGACGCTGCAGACGGGCTCACCGGGCGCAAACTAACCCGCTTTTCGGCCTGTGTTGCTGAATAAATCCATTTTTCATCACAAATGACGATCAGACCAGAATAGAATATTGTCCTTGCATTGACATTCGAGCAGATTAGTGCAAGACCGAACTCATCTGTCCTTATCTTCTTGAGTCAGCTCATGTTGCACCCAGCGATTGAACTTGTACGTCAAGTTTATGCCATGCATAGCGCGACTAATTATGGACATGGCACTAACGTTTAACTTCTCAGGAAGCTCTCGCGTGATTGCGTACCGCTCATCTTCCACAAGTTCTCACAGGCGGGCCTCATCAACATCAGTCGGCCGGCTCTGCTTCTTGAATGCAATAGATCTTGTTTTTGAAATTTCGGTACCAAACCTTCCCATTGTCATATGATGCAACATTGGTACCTAAAGCTGTGCACATGATTTGGTGACCTTCTGTAGCTACCTTTTCTCAACAGAACTGGAAAAAGAACTGTGGTTCTAATCTTGTAGAATGATAGTTCCATTTCAGACACTTTGTAGTTAATGATAACGATATTGTTCTACAAATTTCACTACATTGTTCTGAAGCAAGTCTCTTTCTTTTAAATGCCAAAATGGTTTCATAAACTATGATTAAACACGGCAACGCGAACTGTTTGCGCAGACGATATTTGCGGTGGCGCGAAACTTTCCTTTAAACCCGATATGTTTAAATTTAATGAAAATACATATTATAGATAGATAGTAGTGAAGATATACGTAGATGAATTCTGCCAGTGAAATTTAGCGAAGTAAGTGACACAAAAAGTTCAATGCGAATATCATGACGAATAAACGCAAAGAAATTTAGAAATGTAATATTTTATACACAGTTGGATAATGAATGCTTTTCGTTTAATGGCACTTTGAATAACTAAAAACACTGATAATTTTGTTTCTTCTATAATCTGTTAGAAAAAAGTAATGAAGATTTATGGAAGAAAAATGTTTTACTATTGAAAGATAGGAATAGAAAATACGTACGTGAATTAAAGGTCTCTGACGAGCTATGCGATCAAAAATTTAGCTACAGCAAGGTAAATTAAATTTTTAAGAGTAAGGATAAAACTGAATTATTAAATAATATAAACTGTGAAATACTGTAATTATTTATAATATTCGTATACTGATTCTGTTTAAGGTATTTTTTATGCTATTTACTGGTGCTGCAGCCAATAAATAATCGTTTTAAAATTCCTAATTCGTAATTTATGTATTTAAAATTTTAGGTTTGAAACTCACAGTCAAAAGTGAACTGATAACGTATGATCATTCACAAATTACCATGTAAATCTAGCATGATTAACAAATGAAAATTCTATGAATGGTTTCTGTATGTAAAAATAATGAAAAAATTGAAAAAAATAAACAATACGTTTGTTTAATGTATAATTATATTGTTTGAATATTTTCATAAAATCTCATGCAGCATGGAAAGAAAAATTATAAATTGTTAAAAGGATCTTTATTTGAATTCACAGATGAGCTCCAAAAGTCCTTGCCCTGACACTGATCTTTTATATTATAAAAATATATTTACTAGTGCCAAGAAAGTGAATCAATTAAAAAATTCTGAAATTCTGTACTTCTAAATAATATTTTGCAACAAATATATTTTTCTATCATAAGTACGAGAAATGAAAAAGGTTTTAATACTTTAATCTAATGTTTCATGCAAAAGTACTTACTTATTTATTGCAAAATTTCTAATAGTAATTATTTGTACTAGCATCTGCAACATATATATTGCAAGCCTCTTTTTTCATACATCTTTTAATTTTGTTGAAATGGTAACATATATTTTTCTAATATTTAATACTTTGATATTCTTCTATTCATAATATTCTTCGCAAAATGAAATACAGAAGCAAACGCGGAAAAGTTTAAAATTTTAATTCCTTTTGAGTTAAGTTTTAATTTTTTCTAATAACAGTAAAAATGTAATTTTATGAATTGACTATATAATATATTATTTTTACTAAAAGCAAACCGAAGTGTTTGTATAACTTAGTTATATATTTTAATTTTTAATGGTTAAACCTTTTTCGACTTGTTAATATGAAATTTTCATATTACGAATTAATTATTTAAAATTATTTTCTGAAAAATGCCGGTCACTTTCAGAGGTGATCATCTTAGGAAGATGATTGCTGAGAGATACAAACATATATATCAGCAACATTTATTATCGATAAATTTTCCTTTTGTAAAATAATACATACTCATAATTATTAATTTACCAAAATTTTAAAATCGATTACTGTGATAGCTATTCTAATATTCTAACTTGGTTATAATCCACTTTTTCTGTTTATTTAGTAGTTTATTAAATTGAAATTCTTAATCCTTCACATAGTAGATGATTGTATGTATAAAACTTTTATTTGAAAATGAATGAAATTTTATAACTTTTTTTCTGAAAAACCCTATAAATATTTTCTGATATTTTGGTTATTTTAAAATTATTTTTATTATTTTTTGAATACTGTACAGATTTTGGTATGTATGTATTAACGAAATCACCTAAGTAGACGTCGACAAATTTCAGAATGTGCCAAATTATAGCCAACATAATAATTCTTCAGTCAAGCAACATCGCCTTTAACTCTGATTTAAAATATGAGCTTATGGAATTTACCAGCAGTAGAAGACCTGCAAATATTTGTAATGAATAATTAATTCAATACATCAATTGTGCTTTTATTGAATGGTGAACAAATTCACAATCAAATCTTTCACAAAAGTGGAGAATAAAAATATGGGATATAATACAAATTTATGTATATAATGAAATCAAAAGTACACTAATTCTCATTCTAATGAACTATAACCGGGAAAACCTTTCGACACTTCACCTCCTTCTTTGAATTGCTTTTTCATTTTAGGCGCTGGTTTCGAGGAGCTGCCACATGTAACAGCGTATTTAATTTCTCGCATCAAGAGTTTGAACATTGACATCTGTAATCAAATAAGTTTATATTATATAAATTGCTGAAACTATTTAATACAATAGCTGATGATGGATCAGCAAAGCAAGATTATCCTAAGAACTTAAACAGAGGGTAAGGAAACGGATCTGACTGCAATAAGACTTTGCTTTGTAAGAAAATATTCCATCAAGTAGTACTAAAATATTTTTTGTCTGCTTTCTCAAGCACATTTTCATTTTTTCTTCTATAATACGCATAAACCTATATTTCAAAAGCAAAAATATCTATAGACGTAGACACAAGTAATTACGTATTCTACATAAATATTACCTATTAACATAAGCGTACTTATTATACATATATTTACTGACATAAAATGTATTGATGAATCTGCAAAATTTTAGACGGCATTATGAAAATTTAAAACTGCAATTTTAAATCTAAAATTAGTAAAAATGTAATTTTTAGAATACCTAAAGTTATTAAAATTGTGACTTTCTGAAAATTTAAAATCTTGTAAAATTGTGAGTTTCTGAAAACTTAAAATTGTGATTTGTGCAAAGTACAAATTTCTACCAATCCTTTTTTTTCACCTTTGGTAAAATTAATTTATTTGAAAACTTGAATAAATTAATAAGTTTTCTTCTTAAGCTTTCTATAATACAGGGGTTTTATAAACTGCAAAATGAGCGTTTTGAAGTTTTAAGAGTCATTTAATATGCTGGTTAATTTTTTAATTACACAGAAGATTCAGATTTCGAATTCAGATATAAAAATTACGTGAGGAGTTACAGGAGGCAGATAATGAATATGAAAGTATCTTTCTTGCACTAAACTAATTGTTGCCCTTTTGACCAGCAATTTTGCATACAATAATTAGACAAATTGTTAAAATGTAAGCTTTCGTATGTGTTATGCAGCAGCTTGATTTCAGGGAAAGTCACTATCTACAAGACACAATGGTTGTGTTTGCAGTTTCGTTTGAAAAACAAAAGGATGAAAAATTGTGTTTTCCCACTATAAAGTAGGTTTCCAGGCTCCAAGAAATAGGTTTATGCGAAAACTTTCAGAATAAACTTTGGAAGGGGGAATGTAACACTCTTCCTTTTAGTGTTTTCCGTCGTAAAAGTTGGGATATTGCTTACTTTCTTGAGTACCTAATTAACTAAATGGTTGCGTAGCTGAGGACTCGGTGATAATGAAAGAACGATGCATTGAAAAAAATGCACTCCTTTGAGAAAATTCGGCTCGAAATAGGGAAATAGCCAGCGAATCTGGAATTGAGGAAAAATGAATAAAATATTCTACAACTCCTTTTTGTGAACTGAAATGAAAGGACGACGGCTTCGAAAAAAGGAGTTTTCTCTGTGGAGTTTCGACTCCAGCTGTTGTGGGAATGAGCTTGGAATTGGTAATAAGATAATAAACTATTTTTCTAAGAATCATTCTTTGTGATTTGCCCTTTTCGTTTCCTTCCCCGCTGCAGGAGATCTTTTTGAGAAGTTAAAATTTCTCTCATTGCCTTAAGTATCAGTTTTGATTAATGATTAACAGATGGATAAATACTTAGGAATTGGTGAGATAAAAAGATGTGAAAAAAGCAAATGGAATACTGAAACGAGGGAGATAGTGTGGAAGTCGGGCAGATTAACTTGATTTTACTTAATATGAAGAAACCGGATCATAAACTCATGAAACTCTATTACTCCTCGAAGTCATGAAGAAACCTGATCTTAATGACTTCCAGCAGTAATAGAGTTTCCTGAGGTTATGAAGTGGAGTCGAAAGTGAAAGAAACATCTATAATAAATTGCAGCACTTGGTGCGGATTGCTTGGCAGATTTCAAAATTTATGCCTTGTGTTGCTTTTATAGTCATTCTCAGCTTAAGAAAATACTGTGTTTCATCGAGTAACTTGGTTTTAAGTCCGGCTTCAATAATCCTGTACTGCCGACTGTTTCCCAAAGAGGAATTTGTGCACCAGGATTCAGTTGCGTCGTGTGACGATTATCTAACTTTCTTTTAATTGCCAAACTTTAGTGTGCGATGAAATGAACCTGTCTACTACACCTTAATAAGAAGCTGTGTTTCGTCAACTACTTTAGTTTTGATTTTGATTTTGAATTCGACGGTTCAGTGTTGTGTTATCTTGCCCAGAGTGGAAATTGTATATTAGGGTCAAATCCTTTCGTATCTAACTACCTTCTCGACTGTTATCTGATATAGATCACTTAATCTTCGCTGAAATCATTCAAGACAGCCTCCGTAATTACACCTCACCTCTTTTTCGTGTACTGAATAATGTCTTGAAAAACTCTAAATTGATTTATGTGTTAATTAGTATAATTCTAACTAGAAATTTACTTATTATTTTAATGTTGTTAGGTATTATATAAGATTTCTCTAAGGTACTTAATATCGAACCAAGGGATTCCCATATTAAACACATTATGTTAATATAAAGATAATTATTCTGAATTGTTTGAAAGAAGTATAAATATTAAAATGATAATTTAGAATACATATATGGTTTGCATTTTTTATCTGTCTACCTTAATAAAGCTTAAGAATCAAATCTAACTATTAGTTAGACCCCCACTTGATAACTTAAGAATCAAACAAATTTATCAATTATAACCTAGTCATTTTTCCCTCAGTACAAATAATGCTATCTCTATTTCATTAATATTACTTTCCTATTAAAATTTTTTTATTAAAATACATGGTATCTGACTGAATATTCCTAGTAAGCAGAGTTATATTATTAATGAGATATTTGAAATAAATATGTTTGTTCTGATAATAGAAAAAATTTCAATCCATTTCGCTTCGTTTCACTCTTATAAAGGGTTTAACGTTTTAACTGTTACACTTATCCCTAAATACGGAATTTCATATAAATATTTCTTATCATATCACCTTTATCGTGTATTTTCACACCTTTATTATACGTTTTCATCTAACACTTTTCTTCCACATTTTTTCCCTCTACGACATTTCCCAGATGTAGTCATTTTAAAATTTATAAGAGGGTTTAATGGTTCTGTCTAATCTTTCAAGTATTTTAAATTAAGGCGATCCATTTTTAATTTTGTGGATTTCCTTAAACTAGAATTTACGATTATTTATTTAAATATTTCTGATTCCATACAAATGTCTATAATCGTACGAAGTGCTTCTAATATAATTCGCGTCGACTATTCACAGAATCCAGCACATTTTCTGGGACATATTTCATAAGTGGAACACTGCAGTAAATCTGGGCTGTCTTGAAAAATCCGCTAAATCTGTTTGGTGTCTCTAAAATATATGTCAATATTTTCAAATATTTGATTTTTGTACATATCTTTTATTTCATTTTTCAGAATGAAACATTTTATGTATATCCCCCCCCACACACAGACATGACATTAGAACAGCTGTATATGCACCACTCATTCAGATGGAGACATTTAGAGGTATACCACTTTGATTATAAATGACTTTCTGAAGATAGAAATAAATTCCAATTTTATTCAGCATTCGAATTCAATGTTGATAACTAGAAATTTTAGAGTTTACTGTCTCACTTTTCAGATTTAAATAACCTATGTTTATTAATAGGAATAGGATAGTGCATCTTACTTAAATTTTCAAACGCATTAGACTCTGCATAGACTTATTTTTCCCAGATTATAATAATCAAGAGGAATGTTTCCTTATTCTGTAAGGTTTAAAAACGACTATTCGTGATATTTTCAAGTGCAGCAGACCTGTTTTAGACTACTGATTCTTTTGTTTCACATATACTGTTACTTAAACATATACTGATACTTAAATGCAATAAAAGTAACATTTTCTCGCTATTTATATACTAGTATAAAAATTTTGCCTAAATTTTCAAACTGTTCAATTTTATCTATCATTCTAACGATCAAGAAATAAAATTGCTAAGTAGTCATAACCAAGCGACTTAAAACGCGTGAAATTAGTAAGATTAATTTAGAATCTCAAACTGACCTCGGGATCTTTTTCCAGTTTTCTCTGAAACCAGAAAAACTCTGCCACTCCAGCGCAGGCTGACAAGCATATTCCGAGCAGCATAACTACGAAAACACCGCCGACATTCCCTAATCCTAATTCATTGACAGATCCTGAAGCTTTCGAAGTTTGTGAACAACTGCCTCCTCCCTTCTTCTGTTTCCACCAGCGTTCTTTCAAGGTATGGAGTTGACCTTCTTGTTGGAGTCTCAGAATCCCACCTGTAAGCCAGTTCCGCAGTTTGTGGTCACCTGTATGAAGAAGAGAAATCAATTTTAAGCTAAACACTCGAATTGATACATTCAAATCCTTATTTAATTTTGCTTAGATTTGTGGTTAATTTGGTTGCAGCTCAGTTTCATTATTAGGGAAGACTGATATGAAATGAATTTTATACCACATTTTGCCCCTGCCGTATATAAAGGCTTTAACACTATGTTTTTAGATTTGTTACTCATACCAAAAGTATTTAATTTTGGTGTAAATGTAAGTATGTGTATTTATATATTTACGTTTGTTTTTATATAAGTTTTCATTTTATTGTTGTGTAGTTGTTATTAATTATTTACAATTTGCTTTTACCTTATTTTTTTACTATTCTGCTTAAATTTCTTCTGTTTTCTATAATTTTTATTTTTAAGTAATAATTTTATTAAGTGTTTGCTTCGATTTATTATTTTGTGATTTGTGCAATTTTGTATTTTTGTAGATATCATCGACTGCAACTCTATTAAAAATTTAACAAACCTTGATGACAAGTTTTATTGCTACGTAAACATCATTTAGCAATTTTCTGCTATATTATATCATATTTTGCATTCCCAGAAACAGCCTTTCACAAACTTTGGCTATTCTGAACTTTAGCTATTTTACCAGTGTGTTTCAGTAGTCCTGTTGCTCTTTCATGTCTGAAAAATTTCTTTAAATTCTACCATGTAATTACACTAACTTATAACACAACACTGTTGGTTTTTTTCCCAGTGAACAAACTTGCAGTTCTATTGCGTCATTTTTTAAACCGATGAAACGAGTTTGTTATAAGTGATCGTTCGAACGACGGCTTTGTGGTCTAAGTGGCATAAGCCAAGCTTCGTTGTCAGTCAGCCAGACCTTGTTACGTCACAGAAACTAGTATAAGGATTTTGCCTAAATTTTCAAACTGTTCAATTTTATGCCAATCTGCTATAAGAACCAACCAATCACAAGGAATCAAACACGAAAAAAAAATAATAAACGTTTCAAAATTAAGAAAATGTGCCTCCGTCTTTATTCTATTTTCCCCATTAATAATTTTTTCCGCTTAAATTTGCTCTTTCTATCGATAAATTCACTGAACACTTTTCAGTTTTTTTTAATAATGACTCAGTAGTTAAAAGCACGTAGCTATCAAGCTAGACGTCCTGGGTACGGGCCAGGCAGTTTTTGAATCTGCATTCTTGCAATGGTAGGCAGTGTGAGTCTACAAGACGGAACATCTAAAGAAAACAAAATGGCAGATGTTAATCCGAGATGCCGGACTAAGATAACATAACTCAAAATGGCAGCTACTTGAAGAAGATTCAAGCTTGTTTCAGTGATGAGAGTTAAATAAATAATAATTTCAGACAATTAAAAATAATTATCTATCAAACAATTGTATCAATTAAAAATATTTAAATTAGAAATAATCACAGATTAAACTAATTAGATTGAAATTTAAAATTCTTCCGTCATGGTGAACCGTTCAACTTTATGCCAACCTGCTATAAGAACCAAACAGTCAGAGCGAAACAAACACGAACTGTTATTCGATCTACAATTTCTCTCAGTTGGCTACTCATTAAAGCGCACATAACTTCACTTTCCCTGATTGGCTACGACTTACACCCTGTTCACAGATTCGGTATTAATGAACGCCTTACGCTATTAAATAATGATGACTAGACCACCGTGTAACTGCTCCTTAAGTAATTCTGTAATTTTGAGATCAAATAAACAACAATCGATCCAATTTTGAGAACTAGATCGATTTGGATTCTGCTGGAACTGTTTCAACTTGTTTTGTGCATAGCAGTTGTTATTTATTAAAGCTGCAATAAAGGTCTAAATTTTACATTTTGTCTGGTCTGCTTTTCTAAGACATATGCACAAATCAGTAACATGCTAATAGGAGCTTTATAAAGTTAATAAAATATCATATTGTGAAGACACATTATAATTTAAGATATGATTACAACTGAAAAGAGTTCTTCATTTGTAACATATTAATTAAAGCATAGTTAGCATAGTTTTTGATGTTTCTTAAAATACTGCTTTTAACCGTAATGCATCAAACAATAATATAACTGAAACTAAACACTAAACTCTGAGTCACAAACAGCCCTTAGAGAGCCATGGCCGGAAGTGCCCTGATATCTGCTTCCAGGGTGCTTGTGCATATTGCCTAGACAAGTGGTAAGTTTGTATAATATAACTAGAAATGATTAATATCTTATTCTTTTTAGCTAGAGGAAGGCTTGAGTGAAGTTGCATTCAAGTATTCAAAAAACATTCAGAGGAAAACAAACATGCTATCCTGTGGAATTTAATGTATTACATACGAAACCGTTTGAAAACAAATTAAATTTATATAAATCGAAGTATACTTTTACGCGCATCAGAATTTACAGATCATATTTTGTTTTTTTCTTATAACATTCTAAAAGTACTATTGATGGCATTCTCTACCAGAGATTAACTGTATTTTAAAAGGTTTTACAATTAATTTCAGCATCAGCACCCATTAAATCATTACATTAATTCTTGTTACCATTTCTAAGACAGTCACAGATTCTGATACTAGTACCTGATCAGATCCCATGATGTAACACGTATTTGCTTGTTGCAGTAACTTCATGCACAAGGGATTCCTAAAGCATTTTAGCTTGCTACATAAAGCTTCACAAATATAATACAAAAAGATTTTCTAAGAAATCAGTACTGCAAATAAAAAAAATTAGAAACTCTAATTTTTCAGAACTCATTTTAATGCAAAAAATAATATTTACACCGTTATGTTTCATACACAATATTTTCAAAATGTTGGAAATATTGCTGTTTAGCTTCCGTAGTGTTTCGTCCAAATTCACATTTTAGTAATAAACTTTCGATAACTGTTTTCCTTTCTGGGTATTCTCTGCAGGAATGTCGGAAGGTCACAATCATTTGTGCCTTTCGATAATTAGATGACTTGAAGCGTACCTCTCAATCGTTACATTTGGATACTCAATGACAGAAATGGGATTCCGAAAAATTAGCTCAGTATAATCCATTAAAATATTACGATCACTTGCAGATATAGCTAAATATTTTAGATTTCTACCAACGAATGAACCGAATCTTCAGATTTTAAACTTTTTATATGAATTTTAAACTCCTTGATTATTTTTCTGCTTGAAAAATTTCGACATCTATGATAAATGTGAATTTAGCTTGAAGAGATGGATATACCCTTTACAAGTAAGTTCATTATTTAGATTAGGGATGCCAATATGTATATATACAAAGAGAGATTAATAATAAAAAAATATTCAATTAAAAACTAACATTGTCGTGCAAAATACTGCGAATTAAGGTGGCCAGCTGTCTAATATAAAAATTAAAAACAAAAGTCTATGAAGCAGAAAGAAACCTGGAAATCAGTCTTGGAATAAAATGTAAGTTAAAAAAAAAAATGATTGAACAATGAAATAAAATTGATAATGCTTCAGTCTTTTTCAGGAAGTCTTTTTCAAAAAGTTCGTCTAATTTATGAAAATTATTCTAGAAGAATGTTACGAAATTTTAAGAATTAACACGTAAATAATACTCTATACTTATTATGACAACCTTTTTTTTATTCATGAAAGTTACCAAATTCATATGCAGAAACAGAATAATGTAAGAAACTCTGCCAAACATTCTCAAACTGCAACCGGCCTTAAAATTATTGATAAAGAATGTTGGCAAACCCCAGTATTAGCATTGAATGATATGTTAAATCGTTTAAAATAATTTGCATTATTACAAATTATGCATAAATGAGTAATCATCTATATTGGACTAAGGTTAAAATGGATAAACATTGCAGAGACATTAGGTTAATTGGAAAAGCCGACGAGATGAAAGATAATGAGTATAATTATAATGAGTATAATTAAAATTCAACCAAAAGAGACTTAGATATTCCTCCAAGAAAGTATCCTTCTTCTTAGGCAAGATAGCCCTCGCGTGCTTTACAGTAATCAAATAAACCGAACCAATCAACTCAAAAGGAATTCCAGTTTTAAATGCTCCAATGTATATTTGCATTTTCGTAACGTAAAATGTTATAAAAAGTATCAAAATATAGGAAACGTATGTTATCGTTTGAAAAATGTGTATAGAAATAGGCAGTCTATATGTTACTATTGATAGGAGTTATTTAAATGGCAGATTTATTTTGTAATATAGTAGAAAAAAAGCAAATCACATATGCACGTTACATGTTTCTTAACTTGACTAACTAAACTGTTGCCATTCAGCAAAAAAAAAAAAAAATGGAGCTGCACATGAATATTAACGAACATAGAGTCTATAATTACAGCATTGCTTTGGCAAATATAACATCATAAAAATAAGATAAAGTTTATTTCTAACGCTCCTCCTTGCCAAAATATGCCTAAAAAACTTTCACTTAAATTTATGAAATATAATCTTCAAAATGAGCGAATTAAGAAAAAAGGAACTTACAGAAACTCTTCATAACTGAACAATAAAAAATTGGTAAAAGAAATTTACAAGTGTTATGAGCATACACAGGCACCTTTCATGTTACACATGGAAGCGCTATTTGTGAAAACCTAAATATTTTCTCGGTTAACACTGTGTTCGAAATGTTTTTAGTCAGAAGATCAGCTATGTTTTCCTTGGAATTTACATATTCCAATTTAATCACATCTTGCTCAGTATAATCCCGGATGAATTGATGCTTGATGTCCATGTGCTTACTGCGTTCAGATGTAGTTTGGTTTTCTACGATGAACATAGCTGCTTGGTTGTGTACTTTTATAACTGAGGGCGATGCGATAAACTTCAATATCCTCAGTTCATTTAACAGTCCCCTTATACATAATACTTCTTTGCAGCCAGCCCAGCAGCCGCAAATTCGGCTTCAGCCTACGATAGGGCAACAGTAGACTCCTTCTTACTGCACCAATATATTGCAGCACCACGTAAGATCAGAACACATCCACTGAAGGACTTTCTGTCGACC